GAGCAGACTCTTGCAGGAAAAGAAAAGCAGGACTGACAAAGCAATCTTGTCTCTGGAATCTCTGGCAATTTTGTTGGAGGCAGGAAGCAATCATGCACTCATACCATGCCCGGAACCCACCTATTATCACATTTGGCTAAGGAATACTACATATTCCCCTGAAATGCCACATTTCTTCCTCTGCCTCTTCTAAGTGTCAGTGAGAATGGTTACTACACAGTGCATGATGACCATTCCCAGCTGTTGCAACATCAGTAAAATTTGTGTAGGAGCTGAGGAGGCTTGGCTTAGTTCAACAAAAGCTCAATCTGTTTTGGAGATGAGCAGGGCAGTTCCTTCTGCAGATGATTCTGCTCAGGTCAGAGTTGAAGGAGGGACTGCTTTGGTTTTTTCTGACTGAAAAGTAGGTGCCTATGGAGAAGGGGAAAAGACATATAATATCAATTTTTACCACAGCCTCAACATTCACTGTTGGCTTAAAACTAACAAAATCTCTGAGGACTTGAACTGGATACCTTTCTATCCTCAGGGAACAAGGGAACACACTTCTTCTGGAGCGTGAATTAACACAGAGAAGGGATTTAGCCAATGTACACTGCAAGCTGAAGGGCTTCCTCTTGCAAGCTAGGCTGGATTCAGCTGGGGGACAATCTACGGTCAGTCCAGCAGAGTTGATTGAATGTTTTAACTGAAACACTGGGGAGCCACGTGTTCTGACCAGAGCTTGGAAATAACTTGTTATAAATAACTCTTTTTAAAGTTACTTCTGACTAATGAGAAGTTAAAGAGACATTTTTTTAAAAAATCTGCAACTGTTACAGTTACCAACTATTCTGTTTTGAAGAGCTTCAGCACTGCAGTTGTAAATAATTAGTTTCCATTTCCCAAAGTCCTTGTTTGCCTGGTGCAGTACCCGTGTAAATTACATCAAAAGCGGCACCAGGAAGGTGAAATCTGTATTTTTCTCAAAAGAGGCTTTCATTGAGAGGAAATATAACAGATTGCAGTTAATAATGATATGATAATAATCTTAAAACTGCAGAGCTAGAAGGGATCTTATGGACCATCAAAGCCCACCCCCTGTCAAGGAGGCACAGTTGGGAATTCAATTCTGAATCTCTGGCTCCACAGCCAGATGCCTAAACCACTGACTTATCCACCAATTCCTAGTACAGTATGAAATGTTTCCTGGGTTGGAGTGGAAAGCAAGAGGAGGAAGAGAAAGGGCAGTGCAAATGAGTGGCCTGGTTGCACAGAGGTGGGTTTGCATGTATGTCCAAAACCAAAACAAAAGTGGTGGTGGGCTTTCCATTGCATTTTAAAAGTTCAAAGGACGGTGCCTCTTATTTCTTCGGGCCAATTAACAGATAAAATGGTGAAGCTGATGGGATTACAGGCATAGGAAGGCTGGGCATTTTACAATCTAAGGGATTCTGCTCTAACGAAATAGTAAGAATTTTATTGGGAAGCATATAGTTTGATTTGTTCTGTACAGCTTGGTGTGCTTCTAGTTAACTTCAGGCAAAAGAAAGAAATAGTTTGCGCTAATGTGCTCTATGCGTATATACAGAAAATGCTGTCTGGCAGCACAATGATGATGAAAATTTTAAGCTAAGGTGCTTCTTGACCCCAACAAAAGAGTAGATGCAGCAAGAATCAATGGTGGAGCAGAACCACAGTCCATAGGCTGATGGAGAGCACATGATAAATGAAGCTAGACCCCCATGATTTTGGATTTGTCCTAATTCTCTCTGGTTAATAGTAACAAGCACTTAAGCGCTGTTCGCTAGCCAGTACAGCTCTTGAGTCCTGAACCCTTTCAAAAGCAAAGATGATTATAAGACAGAGTGTCTGATAAGTACTCTTCTAATTTCAGCCAGTGGGTAGAATTGTCATATTCTAGTTCACCAAACTTGGGCAGCCTAATTATGCAAATATTTCTATGCAGTCTCATTTCCCATATTATGCAAATTAAACACACTCCTTATTGCCCTGATTTTCTACCAATATGTTTCCGCCTTGGCATCATTTATATGGCAGCCACTGATCTGAAAGGACCAATATAGTGCAGTGGTTAATATTGGCCTTTGAACAGAGAAAGTCAAGTTGAAAACCCAGGTCACCAAGCTTACTTAATATCCTTGGGCCAATCTCTCAGCCAAACCAATTTAGAAGGTTATTTTTAGGATAAAATAGTGAGAGGAGAATCTAAAGCAGCTATGTGTATTGTTGAAGCATATAAATAAATAAAGGATGACAATTACATTTAGGTTTCTGGTGGTATTCTGACGGCATGGCTGTTGTTTTTGCCTTGGTCTTTACTGATGCCAAAACCAAAACAAAACAAAACCCTGTAGTCATACAGGTCTATGAGAATACCCAAGGAATCCCCCATAAGTGACACATTGTCATCTGATTTGAAGGAAGTCATGCAGGGGAAAGTGGGGCAAAATTGCAAAAATTAGAGACTAACACGTCTCGTTTCCTTCAGGGACACATATCAAATATTTTAATTATATTTAATTATGGTATATCTTAGCTTAACTCTCTTTGCCATATTTTACTTTATGCACACATAAAAGCAAGTGCCAATTCTAAACCCCTACCCCCATTAGCTGCTGCTTTGTTTCACTGCTATGAGTCACACTGTAGTAGGCAATGATATTCACAGCAGAGCTAAAAATTTACTACACCTAGTGCCGTGGAGTGTACCATCCAAAATCCCTGAGCCAAAAGAGTCACGGATTCTGTTGGAGAAAGCACTCTAGGAGCTGTAGTCCAAGTGTTACACTGATGTTTGCTTCCTAATAAGTACAAACTCAGAAATTTCCTGTGCACACTTACTGACATGTTAGGGTCATTTAATCTGGCAGGGTATATGTCTGACTAAGCAGTTCAAACAGCTGCATCATGTTCCCAAAATAAATAGATGCAGAATTACTTCTTTGAAAAGGATACTATTTTCTTTTGTTGTTTGAAACTTTTTCCAGAAATTTAATATACACAGCAACGCTAAATTCAACCTCAATAAGAAAAAGCAGAAACATTTGATAATTTATGCTGTTCCCCTTGTTTTTTGTGAACTCTTTCTTTCTTCAAAATAGCATATGTCTAAATAAGGATGCCATTCCTATTGCACATGTGGAGCTGGACAGGTGAACTGCAGCTATGATGCTGAAGCTTGAAAGAGCCTCCCCCCTTGCTTCGCATTTATCTCCCAGTCAACTTTTACATCTATAGGCTGCCTGTTTTCTAGATACTATTTGCAGGCAGCTCTGCAAGGGCCAAGAATTCCTCTACTTGTAAATTTTACTCAGAAGCTTTGGTTTGAGCTGCTGTTAAACAGTGAATTAGCTTCACTCATTGGCTGGTTCCATGTTTCTCACATAGAAATTGGCCAAAACCTTGACTGCTCATTGTGCCTTGTATCTTCTTGTTCTACAAAGCCTAGAGGTATCCTTTTAAAACAAGATGAATGGGCTAAACAGGCACCAGGTGGTGCATCTAAAATCCAGACAAAACCCAACCAGACCAGATAATCTGGTAACACTACTTACTCATGAGGGTTACTGGTAGGCAACACCTCAAGTTATCTCAGGGTACCGCTTTCCTCCCCACTTTCTTCACCCCCTCCAAGTGAACCTATTTTCTTGTGTAGCTGAGAGCAGGATCTCAATTCTGATTCTGATTTACTGTAATCAGCAGGATGAGGTTGTTCAGCTGCACGTTTCCAGCATTTCTGGTGGTGGACATCCTTCAGACCAGCCGTTCCTTAATTCTGATTTCTCAGAGATCATGAGCTAGAGCCATGGTATCAGTTAGTGAACAGCTCTTCTACACCCCTAGCGTACCAGAATGAAGATAGCAGACTATGGCAACAGTAGGTTAGGCAAAAATAAAGGAAGCATGGGGGTAGCTAACGGAAGCTAGAAAACACAGGGACAGGCACGTCCATGAGCATCTAACTTGCCTTTCCCCAAATTTGTTTTTATTTTAGTACAGAGTATATAGACTTCTGGTAGCTGCTGATGCTATAACCTTTCCAGGCATATCAGATCATATCAGATGTTAAGCTTCGGCAATATCAGCCTTAATTGGAGCCTTTGCACAAAAATTACATTGGTGCCATTTCTTCTTCATTAAAATACATTAGCGTTGGCACATGTTCCCCATTTGAGCTGGGAGACATTTTATAAGACAGAAGGCGCTTAATGCTTTGCACTGATGGGAAAAGTCATCATTTGGTGGAGGTGGGGGTGGGGTGAAGACAATGTGAAAAACTGAAGGGAGAACATGCCAAATGCTTGATTAAAGGAAACAAATTGTCACTTTCTCTAAAAAGAAAGCAACCCTCCCCCCATTCACAATGGCTGTTTTATATGAATGCTTCCCTTATAGGATTGAATGCGTGTTCACCATATCTATATGGAAACTCCCTTTATTTCCTTCCATGATCAGTTCCTTTTCATGCAGGCCAACAGCCCCGAATGCAGCCACCATCAACCACTCACACCCAAAATTACTTTTTTTTGGGTGGGGGGTGGGTTCCTTCTTGAAAACCTCAACCTGTCTCATAAATAAATTCAGAGGAGTATGACTACTCCAGAGGGACATGCTGCAACCTTTAGAATCGAAGACAACATGCCTGTGAATACGTACTAGATACTGGAGAATAATAGCAGGAGAGGGCTGCTCCTCCCATCTCTTGCTTTCCTTGAGTCATTTGTGTGGACTCTATAGAGCCATAGAGTTGGAAGAGACCACTGAGGCCATCCAGTCCAACCCCTCTCCGCCGCCATGTGGGAACAGCTATCAAAGGACTCCCAACAGATGGCCAGAAAACTTTGTTTTCATCCAGCAGGATCCTTATTATACTGTACTTTGTCTCTCTTTAACTTTCCATTATTGAACAATGCTAGCATGTGGTACATGGTGTTAAAAACTTATTAACTTCTCACACGTGTGTTGGTTTACCTCCACCCCTTCTTTTTTTTCTGCAGAGGTGCTTTCTCAATCGTCAGGAGGTGCGTGAAAGTGTTGTCAGGACAAGAGTATGCTGCCAAGATCATAAACACCAAGAAGCTCTCAGCTCGTGGTAGGTGACATCTGGTCTTACTACATGTTAGAAAAAGGTCCCTCAGCCTCAACCTCTTTACTAATTGTGCCCAGGATTTTTAGTAGCTGACTTAAAGCCCTTCCTGCTTTCTGGATGGTTCCTTGACAATTGTTGGGTACAGATATATGTTTGAGGGAGTTCTGTACGCATGTTTTCATATATATTCAGGGGGTAAGGCGCAAGAATCCCACTTGTCTAGAAATGTGAGGCTGAGAATGACACGTCTCAACAATATTGCTATTCTAGTTCTAACATTTCCCTTCCCTTCCTAGTCTGCAATGCTGGTGCTACAGGGGCCAGCTGTCCAGTTCCTCAGTGCCTCAACGTTCTTCTTCCTTTAAATATAATCCTGTTTTCTGTATAACGGGACCTATTTTCACTTCTTTTTTTCCAGCGCTGTACAGTAATAGAGGCACCCTTAGGTATAAATTACCAGGTCTTATTGCTTCGTGTAGCCGAAAATAAGCTTTTATTGCTTTTCTTTTCTCCCCTGACTTTTAAAGCGGGTAAACTGAAAGATGTTTTCACATCTCACCTTTGAGTCTCCATGATATTGTTGCTAATATGACAGAGAAAGCAGAGAACATTTGCAATCTGAAGGAGCAGCCTTCTGGTGTAAGTTTTACATTTACATTTAAAATATCTATATTTTGAAAGCTGTTTTAAGTGTTAGGAACAAAAAGTGGGGGCAGGGGACGATTCATAGTTTCTCCAGGGAATACAGAGGAGTAAACTGGTTTGATAAAACAGCAAATGAACACAGGCAGAGTCACATTTAAAGTGTGAGTTCCAAATTGGTTGTTGTAGGTTTTTCAGGCTGTTTGGCCATGCTCTGGAGGTTTTTCTTCCTAAAAGTTTCACCAGTCTCTGTGGCCGGCATCTTCAGAGGACAGGAGCTAGGTGCTAATATTTAATGGCTTGCTCCCAGAATGTCGTCTTCTCTCTTTCTTCCTGGTGGAACCTCAAGGAATGTGTCCTGAAGGAATCTCCACATAGGTCCATTATGCTTTGTATGCAGAACATCCATGAGTCAGTTCCTAGTAGAAGGACACACATTAAGACTGTGGAGCATGTTTCTACAGGTTTGTGAGCTACATGGGTATTTGGACTATAACTCATACTGTGCTTAACCATGTAGCCACTGGCTGTGCTGGGCGGAGAGAATGGCAGTAATTGTGCAAGAACAGTTGCTTGGAAGAGTGCCCAATAGTCTGTTCTAGACTAAACAAACTTTCCAGGTCTGCCTACTTTCCTCTGAGGATCGCTCCTGGAAAGGTGAGCATGTCCATCCTCAGAGGTTCTCTGTACTCGTAACGCAGGGAGTTGAGATCTAGTGCAGTTTATTTATTCTGTTAATGAATACATATTTAGCTAAATATGACTGCTCTCAAAGGTCGTTCAAAATACCTTCTTCAGCTTATACCTGTTAAAATGGTAGAGGATTGCCATTCAATCTGTGCTAATTGCATGGAATTGCCATCAACCTGCATTAACTCCGTCTTTTTTCAAAAGGTCATACCACAGATTAATTAATGTGACGGTTATTATAATCTTCAATAGAGTCAAATGTTTGGCAGTAGTGAAATAGATTTCCTTAGGCTCCAGCAAAATAAGCAGGGAGATACATAACTGAACATCCTTTCATATGATGTCTCTCAGCTGAAGATATTATTCTCAGGGCTGAAACTGTGTTACTGAATGTTGTCTGAGGACAGCAGCCAGCCGGTTAGATGACAGCAGAGCCAAAGAGAAGGAGCCAGATTGTATGCAATGTACTGTGAAAGGCTGCAGAGGAAGTCAGAGAAATCAAGGTGACAAACAAGTCTCTGGGGCATAAGTGACAGAGGTCACCCAGACAAAAGTGGAGGTCAGAGGTCAGCTACTACTGAAGGGGAAGCAGCCTTTATTCCAGAGAGGAGGCAGAAAGTAGGGAATCTGTCCCTGTGAGAGAAACATTATCTAAGACTCTCTGAGACTACAGGCTATGCACATCCGCTCAGAAATAATAACCTTCACTGAGTCCAATGGGGCTTACTCCTAGGTAAAGGAAAGTGAACAACTGAAGTCTGTGTTAACAGTGATGCAAATGATGCCTTGTACGTTTCATGGATGTTCAGAGAAGTTTAGCTGGTTTTGTTTTTGCTGCTGTTACTGTTTGTTTTGCACACAGGACAACAATGAACACCATTTAAAGATTACCAGAAAATGTTCTTCCAGAGCTTCTTATGGAAATCCCATTTGCACCCATCTGCCCATAACTTAGTGGTTAAAGGAGATGCTTTGCATGCAGAAAGTCACAGGTTGTGTTCACATGTACAGCCTCTCTAGGGGCAAAAAACGGTTTAGCTGATTCATTGCAAAGGCTTGGCTATTATGGTGGAGGGTGTGGTCCAAAAGAGTTGTCTGTCAAAGCTGCTGTTCAGTCCTACTATGATGCGGCATTAGGGAGTGCGTGCCATTACATTTGAGGCTTCGGGATAATGTATGGGCATCTAGAACAAGTTGTACAGCTGAGAATAACAAATTGTGCAACTGAGAAAAACAGTTGTGGGTTCCAGGATTCCAGCTCTGTCACCTGAAGTGATCGCACTGCCTAATGGTAGGGCTGGCCTTCCCTTCCTTGGGTATGCTTCAAGGTCTCCACTTCATTGGGCTAAATGGTAGTTAATCTGCACTTCAAAGGTGCCAAAACCTTTGTGCACATGTTGAAGGATAAAGGTGGCCAGTAAGGTCCTTAACTCACTCTCCCAAGCCTATTGCTATCAAGACATGTTGATTGCAGTTGCCATCCCAGCCACTGAGGATATTGAAAATTGTGTTCCAACACATATGAAAGGTGCTACACTGGACAAGACTGCCTAGCCCATGGCAGGTCTATCTGTAAGTGAACAAAATGTGATCATGGAACCTATTACAGTGGTGCCCTGCTTAGCGATTACCCCGTTTGACGACAAATCTGCTTCACGATGATGTTTTTGTGATCGCTATTGCGATCACAAAATGATGTTTTAATGGACAAAATCCGCTTTACGATTCTTCAGGAACCGATTCTTTGCATTACAACAATCAAAACAGCTGATCGTTGGGTTTTCAAAATGGGCGCCGGCTGTTCAAAATGGCTCCCCGCTGTGTTCAGGATGGATTTTTCGTTGCAGAGGCATCAGAAAAAGGCGCCCTATGGAGGATCTTCACTGGACGCTGAGGTATTTCACCGATTGGAATGCATTGAACCGGTTTTCGATGCATTTCAATGGGCTTTTTTATTTCACTTGACGAGGATTTCGCTCTACAGCGATTTCGCTGGAACAGATTATCCTCGTCAAGCGAGGCACCACTGTATATGGATTCTCTAATCTAGAGTGGAACGCTGAGGTTTATCAAAACTGCTCATCCCTCCAATACTGTACCTCCCCTTTGCCGTTAAGTAAGACAGCCATGGGTTTGTGTTGGGGTGTCATAGTTTTAATTTGATAACTGGAGTTATCACTTCTTTGTTTGTGGAATTGCTGTAAAATATGCATGATTCTTTTGTCTCCAGGCAACAACTTAACCATGAGAGGCAAGCTGAGATGTAAGGAATGTATCACTGGTTTTTTGTAGTTGTTAGAAGGATTATCTGCTGTCATCTTTACAATAATTGTGGAAATCTGAACTATGCAGCAAGACCAGGCAACAATGATAATACAGTAATAATGCTTTTAAAACTTTACACATGCTTTTCAAAAAGCTTTTTATTTATTTTCCTTTGAAGCTTATTTTATATCTATGAAGCAAATTAAAACAGAAACCCAAATAAACTTTGCCTTTGCTGTGCCTCACCTTTTAATTTGCATTTACTACTCTTTAATTTGCATCTACTGAGCTCTATACTGGAGGAAAAGTGAGAGGTTTTAACAAAGTGATGATTACTGAAGGAAGATTATCAGCCTGTGTTATGAAGTAAGGTTAGGAAGTTTACATTGGTCTTTTCTTATCTTAAAGCCTCATCACCCTATAATAACAAAGCAACGAGAGTCTGTTACACAGGTTCCTCTAATGCAATTTTTGACTAATTCTATAAATTATTAACATCAACCTGTACCATCTTCAATCGGGAATCATGCAAATATTCAGAGCTGTTTCTTACCAAAGTGAGAACAGGTCCATGTGTTCTGCTGAAACTCTCTGAAAGTTTATGCCATGTCATGTTAGGTCTCAGCTGCTGTGCTATACCTGTGTATACTCATGCAGTACCAGCATACCAAAGAGGCATACCTAAGAGACATGTACTTATATTTAGGTAGCCTCTGCTTATATACATAATTCATTTTACTTGTTCTTGATGCTGCGGGCTGCATTTGGGAATGACAAGAACAATCTGAAACCCCAATCTGTCAAGAAGGGCACAGGATCCATTTTTCTTTCCAGTCATGACAACCACTGACAGCCTGAAAAGCTCCTGCCGATGGCTAATGGCTGAATTCAGAATTTATCTTTATGCTGTTCTAGCACACCCCTTGTAGTTTCACAGGAGCAGAATGCAGTGCTGTTTGGAGCAGTTGGTTGCAGTGTGTCAAAACGTTGCACGCACACAGAGAGGTTCTATAATTCCTATGATTTTTAATGCCCAAGAGAACAAGTAGGTTATAATGATTTATATAGGCACATATCGCTTAGGGTTTTACTGACACCCACTAGCATATACTCAAGCTCAGGAAGATGACCTCCATCAGTCCTATCAGATGCCAGGACTTATTCCCTTTGCCTCTGTACCCCAGAATAAAGATGCGAGATCAGAATTATGGATTAAAACACAGGCCACACTTTATTGAAAATAATCAGTGTTGCCAATCCTTTGTCAAAGGGGGGGGGGCCTGCCGTAGTGCGGAATCAGGTTTAAAGACATGGGCCTGAACAGACCCTTTAACAAACAAACAACTGGGTGAGTCCCTGGCCTAAGTTTTCACAGCTGTGAAGACCACGATAAACCTGGCTGGCCA